TCAAGTATTCTTTTGTAGTAGTTTTCTTTGGCTTTGACAATCATTAACTTAAGGAGATTATAGTATTTATGGCAATTTTATTTTAATGAAACATCATTAGGATTTAATTTGTATTTTATGTGGTATAGTGAAATTTTAATTTTGCACAATTTAATTGAACTTTCAATAATCCATCACTTCTAGGGTTATTTTTACTATTACATGTGTCTTTAATTTTACATTTTAATATGAATACATTGCTTTTTTTTCTTCTGTCACCAATTTCTTCACTTCAGGGAAAACAGCTTTGGCCTTATTAAATTCATTATTTTCCAACTAAGGAACTCCTACTAATTGCTCTATTTACCACAACTTTCGAAAACTAACTTCTCTACATTTTCTGTATTCAGTATAGTAGGTAATTGCAATTCTTCCTCCCAATATAGGACAACACGTTAATAAATTTTTGAATCTATTTTTGATCTTCACTCTTTTCTTTTGAAATTTCTATCTTCAAACTTGTACATTAGACCTACTGAATGCTAACTTCTGTCAATCTTGTCCACAGATTTCTTAAGTTGTCGGTGTTCCAACAGATTTATTGCCCCTGACTTGTACTCCACTCATCGCTGGTGGGACAATTTGTCATGTGGTCCTTGAAAAATCATTATATCTTCCAATTGGCTTGTTGTCACACATCAGGATGAAAATTAAAGCTTTACCAATTCTCTACAGAGCTAAAAATTACATGTTCCTTGGATGTTAATATTAATTATGGTGTGATTATAAGATATAATTGATTCATACATCAATATTGTCTTCATCCCTCCATTGATCACAATTCTTTTCACTTCATTAGTTGCAAATGTATAATTAACAGACCAGAAAGATTTGGCCATTTGGATTCATTTTGGTAAAATTTCAAAGAATAGTTTCGGAACTAGTGTTCATCACTCAAAATGGATAGACGTTTCGCTGTAAACCAATTTTTCAGTATCAAAGATCCACAAATTGTGGATTCTGACTGCACAACATGTTAGAGAAAGTAATTTACTGCCTACTGGAACAAGGTTTATTAACTTTCTTGGTATCAGGGCCACACAATATCACGTTTTTCTGTTAAAAAAAATTGTCACTTCAGC